CATGACCAAGCGCATCAATGTCAAGAAGACAACTCTTGGAGGACAAGGACGACGCGAATCGATCCCCTTTGCTTCGGAAATGGTGGCGTTCATGGAAAGCGTGCGAGGTGGTGAACACCACCTGACCCATTCCCATCTCATCACATTCATGAAGAACCATCACTGGGATTGGTACGAAGAGTACATTAACAACAAGAAAAACGACGACACGGCGTACCGCAGTCTTTTGCGTCTGTGCCAACGTTTTTCAACTCGATACCGCTACTCGCAACAAGTCCCAGTTCCAACAAAGGTCCCCCAAGCGGTCTTGGCCGAAACGAAAGCGACGTTCGCTGCGGCCTTCTGGGAAAAGTTTCGGGACACTGCCGCCGAGGACATCATCAATGTCGACGAGACAGCTGTTTACTACGACATGCCACCCACGAAGACGCTCGCGAAGATTGGTGGCTCGTCCAAGGTCGACAAGGATCAAAAGCACTCGGACCGCATGACGGCGGTTCTGTCGATTCGCTCCAATGGTGAGAAGCTTCCAATTTTGTTCATTGTGAAAGGGCAACCAGGTGGCACGATTGAGCAGAATGAAATCCCTACGTACCCGGACGGTCATGTTTACGTCGTTCAAAAGAAGGCGTGGATGGATACTCGCGTCTGGGAGATCTACTTGTCCGACCTGTTGAAGTTTGAGATCAACGGGCCATCTGTCATTGTCGCTGACAATTTGGACGCTCACGTGTCGAAGGATTCCTACAACCGTGTCTCGTCGGAGCTGTTCTCTGTGCTGGAGCCATTGCCAAAGAACTCCACGAGCGTGTGCCAGCCACTGGACGTTGGAGTCATGGGTCCATTGAAGAGCAAGCTGCGCTCAAAGTGGTTGCACGAAAGACCAGTGGTGACTGCAGCGCAGAAGCGACTGGCTATGATTCAACGAACTATTCAGGTTTGGGATGATATTCCGTGCTCTGTCATCAGTGGGTCTTTCACCAAGGCGCTGCCGAAGCCGGACTTGTAGCCAACTGGTCGTGGTGGTCCAAAATTTGACCAATAACATTGCAACGAATTTCACTTGTCGAGTTTTGAAATCATAATATTATCAGTGAATCTCATTTTGAATAATTTAATTGTCAATACAAATCCCAAGTCTAAAATTCGTACCACGGGGTAAACATTACCGTCTTTCCCTGTAGTGTTCATGATAATTAGATAGGGTCTGAAACCAAATATCCGGAAATATCCGGATATTTGGTTTCAGACCGCCGAATTTCCAAATTACTGCCAAACCTATTCAGGAAGTGCCATGCTGATCAAAAGATGTACATTACCGTATTCGAAATAACTCGACTTCTTACGACTTTTGAGTATCTCCAAGAATACTTATTTCCCATTGGCTGCCGACTAAATGTATTGACGCGTCGGAGTCAAAGGACACATCTGCAGGCACAATGGCGTCTCAAAAGTACAAAAATTGAAAAGTACTACACAGTAGAATATATGCATCAGTGGTAATTAAGGTCATCGCAACGATCGGCCGCCTCCAAACCAATCTTTCTTGACGATTGGAGTTTTACCATTTAGTTCAACGTCATTGAAATACTTGGACAGCGTTTCACGGGCTAAATCCTTCAAAACCTACTTGAAATTGTCACCTAACATATCTGAAGGTGATATACCCTACACGATACATCGCTGAGGTGTCCTTAGATTTCGAGTAATTGCAAAAGTGCAGTTCAGGGTTTCGGGGTATCGGGGTAGAAAATAAACTAGTGGTAAATTACTAAATTACTCGAAAAATAACAAGATGCTGCTACATTTTGCCTCCTCCTTGAGTCAAGTGGTACGGTCACAATACAGCAACACAGTAACAGTATTACGAGCATGTGATCAAAACACACTGATATGACGACTGCAGTTGAAGTGGCAGTCATCCGGATACGGTTTCCTCTTGTCGAGATATGATTGGCCATTGAAAATCCAGGTGGATTTGGTTCACTCGGCGGTTTCATCCTCGGGTCGACCGTCCAGCAGCAACATGCTGGTTCCGCACGAGACTCACATCAAGCCGCTGGTGCTGCTTCTTACGAGCTTGCTCAACTTTGGCGGATGCTACTGCTACGACAATCCGTCGGCGCTCAAGAGCCAGCTCACGCAGCACTTCAGTGGCTCTGTCTCCAAGGAGGACTTTGAAATGTACTTTGTATCCTTTTGGCTGGCTACCAACGCCGCCCCCACTACTCTTGATCATACCATGCGTTATTCCAACGTTCCTTAACCCACATTCAGAATCTGCTTTACTCCGTGTACTCGGTGCCCAACATGGTGCTGCCGCTCTTCGGCGGCGTCTTGACCGACAAGTTCGGGCCGCGATATGTCCTCGTCGCCACCACATCGCTCATGCTTTTGGGTCAGATTGTTTTCGCCACTGGCAATTCGCTCCAAAATCTGCCCATCATGCTGGTAAACACGATCTTCTTAACAATTCGATGTGGCAATCATGTCCTTCTTAGGGTGGTCGTGTGATCTTTGGCCTGGGAGGGGAGACAGTGTCGGTGGCCCAATCCGCTTTGCTCGCGGTGTGGTTTCCGGCGTCGGAACTCGGTACGCAACTACTTGCAACATTCACCGCCGCCACGTCCCATTTATATGTTGTAGCGTTTGCGAACGGGGTCATTCTAAGCGTCATGCGACTCGGCACTACTGTCAACAACCACGTGAGCCCCAAGGTGGCCCAAGCGTCCTCCGTGTCCACCGCTGTGTGGGTCGGTGCCGGCGTGTGCGCCGTGTCCGTCATGGCCTCGCTGCTTCTTCTGCCCATCGACGCCCGCGCCGAGCAGCAGATTCACGACGATGTCCTAACAGATCAGGAAAATGACCAAGAACTGCAGGTCAAAGCCAACTTGGGGCTCAGGGACGCCGCCACCTTTAGGCACGTGCATCTACTACTAGTAGTACTACTAATACTACGCTCTACTACTACGATTACTCACGCCCGTTGTGTAGCGTGTCATTTTGGCTCATTGCGGCGATGTACGTGTTGTTATACTCGATCGTGGGACCGTTCAACAACATTGCCGCGGGCGTGTACATGGAGCGCGACTACTTTCAAGCGCCTCCTTTGGAATGTCAGCGCTGTGGCGTTGGGGCGCTAGTGAACGACCTCCGCTGTGTTTTGTCCCCCCCCTCAGTCGTTTCAATCCACTGCGGTTCCCCCATCGACAACCCTATGCCCCCCATCTCCCCCGTTTGCATTTCCCTTGCCTCAATTGTCGTCCACTTGTCGCGCGACCAACCAATTCAATTGCTCCAAGTTGCCCCCTTATGTAGACGAAACCGCAATCAACTGCGACGAGGTTGGGTGGAGAGACGGTCCATTCACGCACTCGTACTGCACGGCCAAGTTCCACGCCCAAGCCCAAGCCGCCATCCCGTTGACGTTTGCGCCGCTTCTCATGGCCGTCCTCGCGCCGCTGTTTGGGTACTTTATTGATCATGTGGGATGCCGAGCGGTGCTCGCGACGGCTACGATGGCGGCGCTGGCCATCGCGCACGCCTTGCTAGGGTTCACAACTGTGACACCGTTTGTTCCATTAACACTACAAGCTATGGCGGTGTGTCTGTTCTTGTCGGCGCTGTGGCCAGCAGTGTCGTGTGCGTACATACTTGTTTCAAATGTCCAACTTAACAACCCAAACAACACAAGCTTCAGTGCTTTGTGTTCATGCATATTGTATCTATTTGTTATTATCGTTATACTAGCTTCTTACTCGTTTTGATAATGTCAATAATATACTAACGTTACACTCACTTCTTATGATATCTGTAGATTGCGTCGAGCCACACCACGTTGGCACTGCATATGGCATCCTTTCCGCGAGTTTGGTAAGGGATCTAGTGTGTTTCCGTTGGTTTTGGTCCATATATAATAAATAAATACTTTGTTTTTATAACAATCCGATGGTTGGGCTAACTGTTCCATATATAGAACTTTGGCTTGGCCGTGGTGCCCATGGTCGTGGTGGTCGAGTTCAACGCCATGCACAAGTACATTCCGTTTGTGCATGAACTATTTGTGGGGTTTTCTGTCCTTGGCGTCGTGATTGGGGGGGTACTCGTGGGGGTGGACGTTCGGTCCGGCGGCGCCCTCCATGCAGCGTCCATGCGGGTGTACGCGCCTCCCCAAGTGAGACCCCAGCTGGACAAAGTGCCTCTGCTCCACCTGCCCAAGCCCGTCAAAGGCTACGGCACCTCATCCGTCGCCGTGAGCTAGACTAACAAGATGATTTGCATCTTGTCCTTGATGTATGTCGGGTGAATCACCTTGTGTTGTCGATGTCATAAAGTACAACTGCTGCTGCTGCTATATATACATACTGTGGGGGGCTGGTAGTTACTGTAATGCGATGCATCGAAGCAATTGGGGCAAAAATGAATGGCGTGCTCAGAGGACTGTTGTATAGACGCTTTATTAGCACATGATTCTGTGTATATATTCGGCCAAGTACATAGGTGAAGTGATTTCCCCATACTGGACGATGTAGAATACCCACCAGTTAACAATGGCGGCAACGACTTCGAGTTTCCACAACCCCAAACAGCGCTGTAGGTACTGTACAATACAAGGGCATAAACAGCGTAGCTCCGACGCCACCGTAGATTCGAGTGCTTCAGCGTCAGGCCGCTTTGACACAATAGGACCTTCGTGCTATGTAATGCCAACCAAAGAATTATATTTAACGATGTGTATACACCGGAAACGAGATTAAAGCATCAGTTGAGCTGGGGCTGGCTCCCTCGCGCCGAATCGACCGACGGCACGACCATGTGTCCAGCACACGAGGACGGGCCGTGGACTGCATATTGGATCTTGGGTTGCATGCGAACGTGTGCAGAGCGCCAAAACAGGGAGCTTCGACACGACGTGGGTGCTGGCGTTCTACGCCAACTTGTGGTCCATTGGCAAAAGCACGAGACGGGCCGGCCGCGCAACGCGGGCTTCTCGCTCCTGGCCGACCACGTGGCGGTGCTCCATGGGCGCTGGTCGGCGAGCGGTCACCACACGTTGCGAGTCCACCTTGGTCGTTGCTTTCTATGGGACGAGGTGGTTTAGTGGCAATGGCACGAGGCGTCCGAGTCGAACGGCGCGGGCTTCGTGCTCCTCTGCGGCCAGTGGTTGTCACCCTACTGCATTCAGTGGGTTGGCTTGTCGCTGCGAGAGAAGGTTAACGCTGCTGTTCCATTCAGGTTGGTTGCCGCCTTGGATTTGACGTGGGCGACACGGCGCGCCTCGGCCTCCTTCATAGCTCGTTCGGCGTCACGACGATCACGTCGGGCGCCCGCTTCGAGGACACTTTGGGACTGGCGTTCCACCCACGCTCGTTCAGTCACCAGGCCAAACTCTTCCGATGAATAGCTACATAGCTGTGCTGCCTGCGACGCAGATTATCCCCATGACCTTTCAAGATCGACATAAACCGTGTATACCAAATTTTATACAAGCTGAAATGAACCTGTCTAAGCTACTGGGGGGTATGTGCCGCAACACGACCATGCCATGTCATGATACGAAACAAACCATGGATGGCCGTGATAGTTCTTTTTATTATTACCTATTTGTCTAAATATATTAACCAACCAAAAGAAATAACACTGTAATAGCTCCCACTCCATCAAAATTATAATTAGCACGAACGTTCTCAACATTATCGTTAAAAGTTCGCCGTCAGCAACTACGACTAAATCAACAGTAAACCAGTCATCCATATCGTAAGTACACATATGTTGTGTTAATCTTGCGTAATAATTCCTCGATCATGGGAAACTTCCCCGTTCCCAGTAGGGTCAACTGTGTTTAATTTGGCTTGTTTTTTGCATCGAGAATCCTCCACAGTCGCCTTGTGGTGCACAGGAAGGGCGCAACAGAGCGGAAGGTGGTCCAAAGGCCTACTGGTGATGGCAGTGGGTGAGTATTGCACGTAAAACGCCCTTCGGACGGCATCAGACGAGTTGGCGGCCGAGAAGTGCCACACATCGGACCGGAAGACGAGGATTTTTCCTGCTGGAACTACAACGGGCGGGGAAGATTCCCCGTCGAGGTGTCGAAACTGCAGCGCGCCGTTCGTGGCTGTGACATCGTCCAGGGCGCACCAGGCAGAAATGTACCACGGAATCGCCTCGCGATGGACGCACATGCCCAATTGCTCCGTATCGTCCTATGTATATGTAAATATATATATATGTTTTCCGAGGTATATGTAAATATATATATGTGTTTTCCGAGGTATATATATATAATCAAACATTGCGCTGATATCCATGGTACATATATATATATATATGCAAACGACAATTGAAGTTACTTGGTGCCATCGAAATTCGACTTTGGAGTGCGGAGGTTTGACGACAAAGTGCTCATTGAAGAAGAAAACGCTGGGACGATGGAAAAGAGATTGCATGAGCTGCGGCAGTTCGTCAAACAGAAGCGTCTGGAGGTCTTTCGACATTGGTCGACCGACCAGAGTATTGCGAAAGGCCACATACTCGGCTACGTTCACACGGGAGCGGGGCGTTCGCTATCGAAGTGCATCACGCCTTGAAGCAGGAAGAATGGTAACGTGTAGATATACGTACGTTGGCGGAGGCAAAGATGTCCAGCACACAACCCTACGTGCATAGACGTCGTCGCATTAGACCAGTATCCATCACACAACAAGTTGCGTACGAGCTCGACAAGGTCGTCTGCATTCGTTTGGCCATAAAGCCCATCGCATTCGTCGCGCAGCTCGTTCAGTTGGATGTCGTTGAGTGAGTAAGGAAGCACGAGGTACCCATACATCTCAAAGGATGCCAGTTCGGATGCGGTGAGTGGTGCATTCAGGCGACTTCCATCAGCCCGTTCGAGTTGCCGCTTCATGTCGACGAAAATGATGACTTAACGCTTGTTTTGTATTATCCGGATTGCCGGATATGAAATTTACAGTGCATTTCCACTGTTGGAATCGATAAATGGCGGCAACCAAGGGATTTCGGACCGTGTTCAAGTCGCCGGGGGTGATCAACTGGTTCCCTGGCCACATGAACAGTGCTCGGAACGCCATGAAGGCGCAGCTGAACAGCGTGGACGTGATCATCGAGGTGCGGGATGCACGGATACCATGGTCCTCGGCGAACCCGCTGCTCGATGGCATTGGCAACCACAAGCCGCGCCTAGTGGTGCTCAACAAGTCGGACCTGTCCAACTCCAACATGAAGGAGCGCGTGGAATACCGCTTCAATGAGCAGAACATCGACTGCATGTTCACTTCGGTGATTAAAGGCAAGCACATTCGCAACATCTTGCAATGGTGCACCGAGAATGGCAAGTCGCAATTCCAGTCCACCGCAGGTACCGCCCACCCACAGACCCCATCATCTCGAATTCTCATGCATGTCCTTCCAGGCACGGTGGTCATGGTCGTGGGCGTTCCGAACGTCGGCAAGTCGTCCATGATCAACGCGTTCCGCGGCATCTCGACGTCGTTGAAGCTGGCGAAAGGAAAGAAAAAGGCGGTGGTGGGGCCCACTCCGGGCGTCACGCTGCGCACAGACATCATCAAAGTGAACGAAGCGCCCGCGATCTACGTCATGGACACGCCGGGGGTAATGCTGCCGAGCGTTCCGTCGCCGTCCGTGGGGTTGAAGCTGGCCCTCACCGGCGCCATCAAGGACGAAGTCGTGGGAGAAGAGCTGATCGCAGACTACATGCTGTTCCTTCTCAACCAAATGAACTCGACGCAGTACGTCAAGGCGTTGGGACTCGCTGGACCCACCGACGACATCGATGAGCTCATGAGCAGCATCACCAAGCAGAGCGGCGGCGTCGGCAAGCCCGAGGAGCGGCAGACGCTGCTGGCGGCGCAGTATCTGCTTAAAGAGTTCCGACGAGGGTCCTTTGGACGGTTCACACTAGACCCTCTTTGAGACATACTACACCATTTTGCGGTTAATTTCGAAAAATATCTGGTATATTTCGTGAAAGTCCCATTTAAATTCGTGGAGCTTCATTATATTTCGCGACCTCGGCATTTAGTTTCATGGGAACGTCGAATTTACTCATTACTTGTATATAAGTATATTTCGTGGACTGCCAGTATATTTGTGATTTGACCAATATATTTCGTGACGTGGTTTGACTTGTGAGTCATTTCGCCAAAAAAATTTCGAACCTATTTGAATATATCTAGTTTTGCCCAATGCAGAGGGACTGGGCGAATAAACCGTTTGGATTGGCAGAAATAAGATAGGACGTAATTTCATTGGCTTAGGTGGTTCTTTAATCCATTCTCTTATCAATACGAGTACTGTACACTTGTAGTGATACTAACAGGAAGTTAGTACTGTACTAGTATCTGGCATCTGGAATACTACAATACTGTAAGGTAGTACAGTACTATTAATAGTACTATAGTACTAGTATCTCTCATCCGGAAGTACTGTACTTCGTACTGGCTTTGCAAAAGACCATCATTGGCCATATCGCGACCATCATTCAATAGTCACGTTAGAATGGATCACGTTAGAAAGGATCAACGGTAGTTTTTCACATATCAATTTACCCTCTGACGACGATGACCACTGCTGCAGCCTCTGCATACAAGACTGCCTTTCGTCACTACACGCAGTACCTCAAGGCTCCGATCCCAGGCGTGTCGATCTCGCAGTTGGAAGCCAACAAGTTCCACGTCAACACCAAGGTATTACAAGGGCCATATGAAGGCATTGTCGTTCACTGGGAACTCACCATCCCCGAGAGTTACCCCCACACCCCCCCGTTTGGAAAAATGGCTGCCGGGTACGCCTTCAACAGTAACCACCACCACCACGTGTTTGACGGCAGTGGAATTTGCTGCGACGTCTTGGGCAACTTCAACTACATGCACGAGTCCGCCTCGGGGTTTAGTGGATGGACACCCGCGGCCAACTTTACAACCCTGATGATCTACTTGCAGCCGTTTTTTGCCGACCCCGATGGCATGATCGCCAGTGGCGACACCATTAAGAGACTGAGGGTGATGGACGAAGAGTACGTGTGCAATGAGTGCGGTCACTCCACCAAGTCCCCTTTGCCCCCCTTGGATCAACAATGCGACGACCCAACCACGCCAGAACACGAGAGGGATAGTTCCAAACTTACCCCCGAACAAGCACGAGCGCACCGAGAAATCGCTTGTCCAGTGATGGGGCTCAGCATCATTGACGACCCCACCATGTGCATTGGGTACCCCCTGCGTCTTCACCAAGCACGAACCCTGGAGGTTGAACTTTTTCCAGAATTCTTATCGTATACGGCGTTTGAACAAGCCAAGAACGCCCGGGGGTGCGCGATGCGAACGTCCACCGGACACGACTATACCCACTGGCTGCCTATTTTCCTCTCCCCTGCACACTTTTCAACACATCAAACCCTACATAAGCTCAGCTTCGCCATCGACCGCAACCATTCCATCAGTCTCGTGGATCTGCTGGTGAAAACCATGAACAAGCAAGTGCTGGCCGTGATGAACGGTTCGTCGCACGAGTCGGAATCGGCCATCGTTGCCTACGCCAACCTCCTTCGCCTGCTGCGCCATGTCTTGAGTATGCACCCGAACCTGCAAACGGAACTCGACAGCTCGGTTCGGCGGTTCATCACCAGCCCAAACCGGCGCACCAAGACGCATGTGCCAGACCTGGGGGAGTTCTACGTCAAGCTGTGCGTGTCGACAGTGGCGTCGCTGGACGACTTGACCGTGCGGGAAACGGTGGTGCGGGAGACGTTTGCTCGGCAAATCCGTTGGATCCGCCAGGCCGACCCAGCGTGTGTCGATGTCGTGGGCATGCCCATGCTTCAGCGGCTGCAGCGGCTCTTCGACGGCAGCGTCGTGTCCAATCGCATCACGACGTTCGTTATGGAAATGGCCAAAGTATTTGGCACGCCCGCGTTCTGCAGCAACATGGATCGCCATTTCGGCCTTCCCCCATCAAGCGTCATTGTGGGCTTCCAAGAGCGCGTGAAAACCATCAAGGCCAAACTCGTGAATTACGACGTGCTGGTGCGGGGGTGGGGACTGCAGACAGTGATTGCATCCCCCGAGGCGATGCTGGAAATATTGATGAACGCCAAGGCCCAGTCCGCCAGAGCTGGCTACGACGTCAAACCTCGTCGGCAGCATTAGGTGTATTGATTCATGACGAAGCAGTAAAATGTTGCATACACATGCCTACATTATTGGTGGTAGGATACTACGAAGGGGCAAACGAGTACAGTAGTTATATCAGCACTTTTCCGGCCACCAATTTCTCCATGAGGCACAAATCACGGTCATGGATTTATTATCTGTAGACATTCGATTCTGCTGAGGGCTCAATATGAACAGAATTTATTACGTTATTGATTGATTTTTCGGACCCCGTCCAATCGACCGAACTCGAGCCTAATCTCTCCCATTGGTCAATTCAAAATTACTTGCCGCTCATTGGCTACAATATCATTTTGATTTCTACCAGAAACGGCGAAGTGGATATTAGCCAATCATATGCCTCAGCCCAGTTTGTGCTTGACATTTGCTGTGAATGAACCATGGAAATTGAAGGAAACCGACAATACTTACGTAGACTTGGTAACGTGTCATGATACATGATTGGTAGAAAACAATCACTCTGAAATTTTCAGCCTATCACCTGCAATTTTTACAGGTAACTGGCAAGCGGAGCTCGGAACTGTTTTCAGCGCATATATATTTCCACTCTTTTAATTCATTTTCCATCAACACTAACTATAAGGTAATGCATCAATTATTGACACGGTGTTCTACTCATAATTTCCTCCGGCGGTTGGTTGAATCGCCTTCGAAATTGCATATAAAGCTGAGTTTAAGAGGTATAATTGTGACTACAATGCAATGTGAATCAATATGTTTAGCAAATCATATTGCAACCTTCATTCCTTATAGCCAATCATGCTCCTTTGCTAGCTAAATGGTTTCGGAGATGAAACTAGTTCTAACTTGGCTATTCCTAATGTCAAGACTTGAAAGCGCGCCCAACGAGGGAAATGCTTTTTCGGCCGTAAGGCCCGGGGGACTTGTGTGTCTATGCCATGCGGCTGTCGGCGCGTGCCGATCGACTGTCCGGCTTGGGCCCGCTGCAATGGGTGTTCCAAATGGTGCGGCTGGACTTGATGATGTCGGCGGAGAGACCGTACTGGAGCTTGGAGGCGGCTGGACGCGAGAGGCCAATGACTGCGGTGAGGATGTTGTGGTTGGCGGGGGCGACGGAGCCGAGG